TGTTCTGACACACAGCTAGTAGGGCATATGTTCATAAAAATATAGGACAGGTTATATAAGATAGGTATGACTTATATGACAGGTTTGAAACAGGAGGAGGTATGAGAGTAGGAGGAGAAAAGAACAGGTCAAACATTTGTGTTACAGGGTATTGGCCTCAACACAATTTAACAAACTTCATTTCTAGCAAGGGTTAAACTCAAGAAGTTGTTTGTTTTGCTGTATTTCCCAATAAATACCGCTCATCATGGGGACAATGTCTAAGTGACTGCATCACAGCATCAGTTTTATGGTTTTTTTGGAAGTTATTTTGACCCCTGTAGGAGGTGGGAGTTCAGTGGATTTTTATGATCTATTTATTTTTTTGAAGGGACTGGGCAGTCCAAGCAGGACCGCCTTCCATGCAAAATGAGGACATGAAGGAAAAGTGTGTGGTAACATCTGGACAGCAGATTTTGAATGCCATATATTCTCTGTGTGCCACGAGTTTCTATTTTTTTAAAAGAAGGAGATCAGGATCATTTGCACAAAATTACTAACCTGCACCTGTGCAGTCGGTCTAAACTCTGCAGTCTGTGAATCAAACACATTTCCTCTCTGTTTCCTTCTGCCATAAAACAGATCCTGGACTACGGTGTCCAACGAGACAAAACTCACATCAGAATCACCAGGAAAACTCTAATTAACTTTATAATCAGAGTTAACTGAATATGTTCAAAAATCAGCTGCAGAACACAAACCAAACACTAGTGATGAAGCCCTCTAATAGCGGCCTATGGTTCCTCAGGAGGGGAACACTTTTTAATCACAGGGCAAAACAGAGACGTGCAAGAAAGAAAACCTTGAAGGGACTCATAACTCATGTTGAGAAATCTCATAAAAATTGTAAGTTAGCTAAAAAATGCTGTGCTGTAGAAGCCCTTCTTAAATTAGGTGGAACAATTTAAACTAAAATGATTTTGCTTCAAAAGATGGGCATAGCAGCCATATTTCGATGGGTACCAGCACACAGGGAGCACAACAGAGTCAGGTCTCCTTCGAAAATAAGATTTTATCTCAAGGGACTTCCTGGTAAAATAAAGGTTAAATTAAAAAAACAGGGGAGTTAAAGGAAATGAAAAGGCAGATAAGGCTGCAAAGGAGGCTACAATAAGAGAAGCCATCGATCTGTCCGTTAAAATTAGAAAGATGGAAACAAAGAGCATCAAGCAATGGGAAGAAGAGGGGAAAGGATGGTGGTTTCATCTGATTTAGAGGAGAGAGGGAGAAATGAGATGTGCAGGAAGGAACAGAAGAGAAGAAACAATTATATCAAGACTTAGATTTAGGCAAACAGGATTAA